GCACATGTGCCCAAATTCCTACTGATAACCTGCCATTTTGTTTTCACAGACAGCTCATCCCAGCCGATGGTGAAGTTCCCAAAGAACATTCTCACGATCCCGGATAAGACCAACATCTCTTCGGTGATGGCGTTCCTGACTGTACCACATCCCCACCTGGCGAAGGACTGCACCAACTGCACGCCGGGCTTCATCAGCAACAAATCACGTAAAGAAAAACATTTCCTGATCAGATTTTTTAAACGTCACAATGACATTTGGTCCAGTTAAAGAGGTACAGAATGAAAGAGATCAATCATGCCTTTGAAAAATGATGTTCCACGTCCCAGAAACCAGTCTGTGGTGCTGAAGGGTCCACACACCCAGCTCACACTCCTTGTCAGTAGTGGGTTAGGGTGGTTCAGGTTTTGATCTACTGCTCCATCTACATCCCAACCTTTACCTCTGGTCATGAAATCTAGGTAAAGAATGAAAAAGTAAGGTCGTGAACAATGTTCCCTCTAATTTTCCATGTGTCTGAGCGAACACACACACTCCCTGAGCGGACACTTGGACCACTGTGAGCAACAGCAGACGACTGTGGTCATGCCAGCATTGAATCCATCCAAGTTACATGGTTATTAAATTACAGCATTTACATTTATGTTAGACTACTTTAATTAACTGCTTTAGCCCACTTACAATGAAAATGTAAACAAAATGTAGTCATTGACCTGTGTAGGATGTTAACATATTGGAAGTAAAACTAACTTGAACTCAAATTTGAAAACACAAATTTCTTCTTTTTTTATTTTATAAAGCTCTGAGTTGTATTATGAGTATGAGTCTGTGGTCTGGGAGAGAGTCTGTAACTCTGTCTGCAAAATACAATATATAATGACCAATGTTGCGCAATTAATTATATAGTTACTTCTTCAAAAAGTAACTGAGTTTTGCAACAACGAAGTTTTTGCAGCTATTTTTTAAAAATGCAGCCAAGGTGTTTTTTTTTAAATAAACATTTCAAACTATTTACAGCATAATCAGCTGTTTGGCATCAAATTTGATGCCATACAAATTATTTGTGCCACTCCAAAAATAATTTCTGTCCGCATCAAGAGAACAACAGCCTGATACCTGCAGGCCTGACAACAGGAGATGTATCACTCCTGTAACACCTGTAACATTCAGCAGTCGCCTCATTGTTCTGACACACAACAAAACTATTGACTACACTACACACTAACGACATAAGATTTGCGCTATGTCGCAAATCTCTCACATCTCAAAACACCGCCGTCACTCCTAAAACTTCCATCCGTTTCTTAACAACTTGCCATATCATTTTTTGATTGGTCGACATGGTACTTTTTTCGACCAATAGGAAAAGGTGGGGTGTTTTGGTTTTGTTTTTGCTCACAGGCGGAGAGTGCTTCCGTACTTCGAGCGTTTTTTCTTATAGAACGTTTCTTCCCGCAGTAATATAACAACGATAGTATTCAGGAAGAAACAAACATTGCATATATTTTTTTTATCATAACTCTGGTTTACGTGGCCTATCAACACAATTTAAAAACTGGTATAAAGTCAACACTTTTCCCGTCAGTTGTTCCGTCAGTCCTGCTCACATCTCCAATGGTTGTACACGTTGTCATTAACGTGGCTTCATCCACATCAGCCACGCTGCTTCGCTAGCTAAACACCGGTGTCGGCACATAAGCACGCTGTCGTAGCCTGTCAACGACGTTGATTAGCTGCGTTATACGAATGTGAATCGCATTATTGGCTGGACTATGGGATAAGGTGGCATCGTTCTAATCCCATACTGGAGCAGCCAGTCACGTACTGACTAACACTGCAAAACAGAATTGTTGAAATTTTAATTTCAATTTCAATTAAGGTTAGATTTTTTTTTGTGCACAACGCAGATTTTCTGTGCGCAGAGACCGTGCCAGCAGTGGGCAATTGCACACGTGCGCAGCTTAGAGGGAACATTAGTGGTGAATACAAGGCAAGCAAGGCAAATTTATTTGTTAGCACATTCAACAACAAGGTGATTCAAAGTGCAAGGGGCTGAGGTAAGCTTCCTCAGTAGGGTGGTTTGGCTCAGCCTCAGGGATAGGGTGAGGAACTTTAGTGGTTTGGGTATCTGGTTAGGATGCTTCTTGGGTGCCTGTCTTTGGAGGTTTTCCAGGAACACCCAACTAGAAGGAGATCCTGGGGTAGACCCAGAACCTGCTGGAGAGATTATATATCTCGTCTGGCCTGGGATTGTTTCAGCATTCCCCAGTAGGAACTGGAAAGTGTGGCTTTGGAGATGGATGGATGACTTTTTTATTGAGGTACCCAAACAATATGCTTTACCATTTACATTCCTGGCATGGACTGCTTTGCAGTTTTCAGAAGTATTGATCTGAAAGCCGTGGCAGCCATCAGCGTCCTGCTGTACTCCGGTGGCGAGGAGATACAGGTTCGAGGACCCATCCAGATCAGTCTGCCGCTGGGCCACCACACACACCTCAGGGCCTCTGATACTGTGCCAGCCTGGCCTTCAACCAGAAGACAGGTAGCAATGCAAATAGCAGCAGAGCAGCTGAATTACAAGAAAAAGACTTAAAAGAAATTTCCTCTCATGCTATTTTCCTTGCTGTTTGAAGGTGGCTGGGAGAATCATGGTCTGGGAATAGTTAAAACGGTTGGAAATGAGCTGGTTTGGACCTACACCGCTTCCCATCTGGGCTACTGGATCGCCGCCCCTCTGCCTTCATCAAGAGGTAGATACCTCATTGACCTTCATTAACACATGTGAATGCTATTTTTGTTTAGACCTGTTTCACACCTTCTTATACATTTATCCTTTTAGATTATCTGGGACATGCAAACTCTTTGGATTTCCTATCTTACCATACCTACCTGTTGGTAGGAATACTGGGTGGAACTCTGGCCATAGTGATCGGATTTCTGTCCCTGCTCTTGTGCCACTGTGGGTAAGAAGCCCTTCTAGAAATGTTTTCAATTGACAATATATGCAATGCTGATCAACAAGAGGCAGATTAAAAAGGTGTGATCTAAGAGTGCATCCATAGCTTCAAGATTGCCTTCTAATGCATCTCTAAAGAAATCATCATAGCAGTTTTATTCTTCAGATTTGCCTGCGACTTTGCATACAGAAAATTCCTAACAATCTCAGAAAATGATAAAGCCATACAGAAATAATTACTTCAAGTTATTTCTGCTATGGGTTGTGCTTAGATTTTCACAGGCCTTTAACAGTATCAGTAAATTTCTCTTTGGCCTAACTGGTTACAATGTCACTTTAAATTAGGGCTCAAACAATATGGCTCAATATGGCAGTTTTTAGTAATCAAGGAAACAGTTAACAGTTGTTTGGAACAGATATAAATTTGCTATATAAACTAAAGACAATTTTTGGGCTCAAAAATTTCTAATTAAAACAGAACTTTGTTAGCTTCTGTTCTGACACCTTTCATACAGAGAAGGCTAGGCTAAAGCTGCTAGCTGTAGCCTTAGCTTAGCCTTCCCTATATATCGCTGCAAAAAATTGCTAGATTATTCAAGCATTTTTAGTAAAAATGGTAAACTATGCATGCTTTTTATCAGTAAAGTGGATCAGAAGACTGTGCAGCTGCAGCACTAGGAGAAATGATTGCCATGCTTGTTGCAACTCCACCATATCAGTTATCTTAACTCTGCATCATAGCACTGTATCAGCATGTTAAAGTACAATTATAAAAGACTTAACAAGGTCCAAACTGGGTCATGCAGCAGGACAATGATCTGAAGCACAGCAGCAAATCTGCAACAGAATGGCTGAAAAAGAAAAGAATCAAGTTGCTGCAAGGGCACAGTCAAACTGGGAAAATATACGTGATTAAAGTAGAAGAGTGCAGGTGCACAATTAGCAGAAAGGATTGCAATGCTAGTCTTAAGAGTGACTAAACAAACTGGACCCCTCACCTTCTACCAAGCTCTTAAGACTAGTATGACCTGGATGACTGAAAACCTAAAAAGACAGATTACAATGCTTGTTGCAACTTTAGCAATATCTTCTGCCAGAGTTATGCTAACTCTCAAGAGCTGCTTAACAAGTAAATGTGGTACTCTGTGTTCAGCTTTGATAGGCTGTTAGTAATGAAATAGTGAAACAGTTCCTACTTTAAAGGTTCTTTGAGTGAGTCTGAAAAGCGTGTAGACCAAAGCTTGTCCTGCTTAACTTTTGCTTCTCCCATGTACAGAGGTTCTTATCGAGAGCCCAGGAGGAGGAGAGCACGTTTTTCCAAATTGACGGTTGTAAAGAAAGACCAAACCACCTCCACCCACATGGAAGAGGGCTTGTTGTTCCGATCTGGCGACAACAGCCTCGCCACCTGCAGCATCCAGTGCGAACCGTCATCTACTCCAAGGCACAAAGCCAACTATAACATCTATGTGGAGGATCCAGGGACTCGTGCCACGGCACCGCTTTATGAGAACATCACTCCAGATCGGATGAAGGGTCCTCAGCCGCCACCTCACTACATCAACAGTGAGGAGGTGTCTCGATTAAGGGAGAAGTCGGAGCAGAACCGGGCCAACATCAACTGCGACAACTTCTTTCAGGATAAGCTGGTCCATATCTACAACCAGCCAGTGGCCATTATTCCCGCTCCCGAGCTCTTCAGTGCTCAGGAGCAGCAGCTACCAGGCTGCAAGTCCGCCACCTTCCCCCGCAACGGAAGTGAGTATGATGCTCACTCAGAGCCTGCAAGTAAAGACAGCTACACCCAGACACTACCCAAAGTTCCTCACCACCACTCACAAGGTGGAGCAGCCCACAGCAGAGTAGCCAAGATGATACCCAGCCTCTGGAGACGCCCCTCAGGGGCAAGGCCCTAACAGTGTGTGGGGACGCTACAGTAACCTCCTTGAATCCTCCGTCTCTGTGCCTGGGACTCTTAATGAGGCAGCTGGCATGGAGGGCTTCAACACCGGGCACGGCGTGCCCAGTGAGTTGCAGGGGATTTCAGAGCGCACCTTGCTGGAGCTGACACGTGGCAAGTCCTTGTCGTCTCACCCCAGAGCCTGGTTTGTCTCCTTAGACGGGAAGCCAGCAGCGCAGGTCCGCCACTCCATCATTGAGCTCCAGAGCCACCACCGCCCGCCAAGCAGCAACGACACCAGCCTGGACTCAGGGGTGGACATGAACGAGCCTCAGCAAAGCATCCGCGAGACGGAGCGTGACCGACCTTCTATCAGGGCTTCTTCCCTGCCGCACCACAGCCGTGGCGGGCGGTACGGCGAAGAGCAGGACCTGAGCAGCAGTGAGAGCGGCACCACTGCTACCTGCACACCAGAGGACCCGTCCCTGAGGAACATTTTAGATGGGAGCAGTGGGGCCATTCCGAATATTCCTGAAGAGCGTGATGGGATGGATACATCCAGCGCTCAGGAGGACAGTGAATCAAGAGGTACACCACCTCCCCGGCGCCTGAGGAAGGTTAGGGAGAAGGGGAAGACGGAAAAGAGGAGCGCCAAGCACATCCGGGAGGGCAGACCTCTGACCAAGAGAAGCTAAAGCTTCTCAGGCTCATTTCCCCACCCATCAGTGCTTCAGTTAAAATCCAAATTAAGTAATTCATATGAGTTTGTGTTCACACAGGCATTGTTGTTGTTGAGTTCTGTGATTGTACAACTTTGCCAAAGAATGCATAAGCTAGCTCAAGAAATGAATCAGCATCTGTGTCACGTTATGTAGCTGCTGTTAAGACGAGTTTGTGCACCGTGTTCTCTCATTCTCCCAAATCTGACGATCACCAGCGAGATTCCTCACAGCAGATGTCCATGTGAACACGATGTCCCACAGTATCCGGTTCTGGCATTATAGAGGGTGCCTTCTTACTGCCTGTAATCGTTAAATAGGGTTACGCAAAGGTGGTGTGTTTCGATATTTAGTATAAAAAAAATCTGGTGAGTTTGCAGGATGGACACAGATACAGGTCAATGTGTAGTGCACTTATCCTCACCATAAATGCCTGCTGTATATTAAATAAGACGAAGAAGCTTTCCCAGTCCGCAGCACTCGCATCTCGCTTTGTATCCTACTGCCTCATTCCACCATAAATGACGCTCTGGATTTGTTAACTAAACTGAGTGTAAGTAAAAGGAAAACGAGCTTCAGCTTTCCAACTTTTGACTGACTCCAGAACCTTTGGATTGAAATTTTGATGTACATTGTAAAGCAAAGCAAAGCTGCCATTTTGAAGTTCATGTCTGAAGTTTAAGGTTTTTAGCCTACATCTGTTTTTGAATGCATGAAAATGAATGTTTTCACCGTGCGTATGAATATATTTGCATTTTACCGTTAACAGCAATTCATCATAGATTACTTAGAGACTGAATTGTTTTCCCATTTATTTCCATTTACAGTTGTCCACATTTATTTGTATGACAAAACGTGTCAAGACTTGTTTAACGGGATTCGTAAGAGCCCAAAGAATTAGATTAACTATTGGAAACAATCAGTGGTACAGTTGCTACTTTTCTTTGAGGGATACTGTTATAAATATGCTGTTGTCACACAGTGGACAAAGTGGACTTATTGTGCTACCTATTAGGTTTTAATTGATGAGGTCAGTGTATGTCTAAGTAACCTCTGCAAGGAAAAGTGCCGGCTTCAGTCTACTTTAAATACTTGCTTTCAGACAGTTTTTTCTGCTGTTGGCTCTGGATGATGTCAGAGAGTGGGGCTGTCTTTGCCCCACCCACTTGTTGTTCAAATCCTCTGTTTGTTAGTGGAAGCCATTTAGAAGACAAATAGCCTAAGATAGGCTACTCCAGGGCTCAGTATAAGGAATATTTATTATTTTGATCCTTGAATAATGCAAAGCTACTGCAGTAGAGTCCAAGAATAACAACATGGAGATGGTAACAAGCATAGCAAGTCCTCTGTAACTGAAAGAATCTGTTGCTTGACAATAAATTATGATTTGATTTACTTTTCTCTTAATACCTGAACATCTTTTCGGGTACAGCATTACCCTTTGAAACTAATTTCTTGACAGCATTGTGCAATTGGTGCCTTGGAGATCTGCTTTTAGCTGTACCTGCATGCCCAAATCTATTTATATATATATATACTCACACAGTAGGCATCAACATAGGTTTATATTTTCTAGAGGGAGGGAAAAAATCTGGGTTTGAATGAACGCTTCAGTTTATAATAATGGTTCTCCTCTTTTGCTCCAGAGAGCGCTTCTTTGCTACACTGATATAGTGCAGCTCAACAGAAGGCAATGCCATTGTAGCGGTCTGTGAGCTCGTTGGTCCGTTGGTAAACCATTTCAACAACTGTTGGTGGTTTACTGTTAGAATGTGTACAGAGGCTCATTGTTTCCTGATACTGTATCACAGTTATTTCAATCACAAACGTATTTTTCTCTCCGGTTCACTATAAGGCTGACATTTGGTTGGATGGATAGCCATGTATATTAATGTTCCTCTCAGGATGATTTGTAAGAACTTTGCTGACCCTTAAATTTCCACGCTGCATCATCTTAAAGTCAAAGTCATAGACTGTATAAAAGATGGACCTAGCCACCAGAGCATCATCCATTGGCCTGTTAAGTGCTTCAGTGGATGAGTGTTTTCCCCAGCTGGTTTCAAACATCACAGCTGGTTTCAAACACTGTGATGTTTGAAACCAGCTATGATGTGTAAGGTGTGGATTTGACTGAGAAACTGCTTGCTCAGTATTAAGATTTTTAAAACGAGGTTGGAACGACTATGTTCTGAAACTGGCAACTTTGTCTGTAACTTGTCAACTAGGAACTGTGGGCGGTTTTCTGTAAAGGTTTATATGACCCAAAGTCTTTTTGCAGTCAGAGGACTCGCCCCCTGCTGGATATCAGAATGCACCTTTAAGGCGCTCCTGCATTAGCTTGACTTTGTCCATCCTTTAAACAGTCCATGGTCAAATTTTCAACGGTTCAGTTCCTGCAAGACTAATAATAATGTCTGTTGTACTTTGTGTCTAACCAGCAAATATGAGAAATATTAGCTGAAATAAGATGACTAAGGCCTCATTTACACAAGACGTAGAGAGCTGATGGCGACTCCCTGGCACTGGAAGGCTGCTAGGAAAAAAAAAATTCTCCAACCAAAAGAAAACTACATTAAGCTCTCCCATTATTCACTAAGGGTTTCCACAGTGGGCAATGCTGCACATTTGATTGGGCAGGATACTCATCCTGATGCAACCCACAAGGTATTTCCTCCTGGTCTTGAACTGGGGGATCTTTTGCTTGTTGTGGGCAGTCGCTGTGGAATCCATTGCTAAGACCAGTGACCCCCTTGTAACTGCCGTTCACTATGGAAAAATGTGTTTTCCCAGATTAGCAAAAGGTTGTTGGAGGTTACTGTTGCTAGGTGAAGCTGGCTGTAACAAAATAGAGAGCCGATTTGGCACAGAGTTTGCACGGAAGTCTCCACCTGGTTTGCAAACACTTCATGTCTTGTCAACTACTCACGAAGCGATAGTAAAACTGTGAAGAATAGAGCACAGACTGCCTTTACAGTAAAAGTGTTGCCTTTTGAAATATGTTGGTTCAGCAGCTTTTACTTTGAACGCAAATGTTCTAGGTGGTGCTACACTTGTTCATGTTTCATTACCACTCATTGGTTGACTGGTGAGTGTTTGCAGACAAATTCCATGCAAACTGTGGACGACCGCAGTAATCTGCTAGCGACCAAAGCAATTGCAACAAGGTTTTTGAGGCAGTACCCTGTTTTGCAAACTATTTTACACAACGACAGCCAGCAACCACTCACCAACCAGTCAGGGAATACACATTTTATAAGGGGCGTGCTGACTGGTCTGCGGCCCTACAAGGCATATACATATACTCGCTTAGCATGTTAAGCTTAACTATTGTGACCATATTAGCATGCTAGCATTGAGCTCAGAGGACAACTGGTAGCATAAATCTGAGTACTTACGCTCTTAATATTTATACAAAGAAGTATTTTAGTGAAATATTGAACAAAAAGGCCAACCATACTCTTTCATGCCTTTCCTACCTGGCAGGACAAGGCAGGTTTATCCATGTTTCCAAGAAATCTTCAGTGGGTAAATATGGGTACCCACTGAAGGTCGGGTAAAAACCCACTAAAAGTGGGTAAAAATATCCACAATAAAACATTTAAAACTGTTGAACCATGATACAGTGTGAAAAACAATGGTTCAAATAGCAATATTTTCAAGTAAATTCACTTTTTAAAGAGAACAGTGCAGCAAAGCTTTTACCATAATTAGTCTTCCATCATTTTACGACTCTTTGGATTTCATTCTGTACATTCACGTGTGCTCTTTTGTATGTATATAGTAAAGATTTTATGTACGATGTGACAGTGATTTAAATCATTTGTGCTGTTTTTTTCTACCATCCAGAAGTGGAGATATGCACCGATTGAATGAAACAGATTTTGAGTGTTTTCCCCCCACAGGATTGTACAAAAAGCCTGAGCTTTGTAATTTTAAATGTAGCAACAAACTGAGCACTTGATCATTCAGTACGCTTACAGCTGAAAATATTTTTCTCCTGCTTGTCATCAGCTTTAAAAAACACGGTACACCCCAGCCTCAGCGGCCACTCGAGGAGTCGTATGTCAACACGTTGTGCTGGTACTTCTTGACAAGCGCAACAACTCCAATCACTGCCACTTCCTGTTTTTGAACGTGATTTGTATTGATTTCCATGTATAGTGTTCCCCTTGTGTATCTCACTATCGAATCGTCTGATTCTTCCCCAATGGACACCTCTTGTGTTTTTACCTCTGTAATGATGGTAGTGCTGTTAGTCTTGCCTTTTTTGTGCACCAAATTAATAAACTTAGTTGATACCAGTGAGAATTTATGGCTTTTTAATTAATGCTGTGTTGTAAAATACAGAAAAAATACAACTTTGCAAGCAAAAATAAATCTCATACTTGCAGATTCAAGTCTTTTTTTTCTTTTTCTTTTTTTTACTTGATTTTGATTAAGGATTCATCTCCTGATGTTTAAAGAAACTGAAGTGCCTGATAGCACCTCGAAGTGAAGTCTGACTTTGCGGAGGTCTTCCTGTCACTGGTTCTAAAAGTCAGGGGGTTGTAAACAACATCCAAGGGGCAGGAGTTGGACTACCAAAGGATCGGGTCCACACAGTCCACGTGGAGCTGAAATGTGTGTGCGCATGTGAAGTTGACTAAGGTGAAAATTTAGAATATGAAATAACAGTTTGGTTAATGTTCGATTTTAATATGTAAAACTTTACACAGAAAAGTTTCACCTGAAAGGCCGTGTGATGCTAATTTTTAATGATTTCTTTCAACTGTTCTTTTTCTACGGTGGAATGATTGTACAGCTTAAATCTTTAATGTAACTCGTCATTGCTCTTTGCAGCATTAAAGTGATTGTTTGACAGCACTCATTGAATTGACCAATACTCAGAACAATGGGAAAGTTCAAGGAACTCCAAGTGACGATCCAAGAAAGAGAATTGTTGATTTACCCAAGTTGGGAATATTTTTTGGAGCCAACTGCAGATTCCAAGATCATCCATTTAACTCACTGTATGCAAGTACAGCTGTTATTAAGATCTATCACCATGTTTTAAAGGTCTGGAAGAAGACCCAAACTGTAAAGTATCATGACTGGTAAAGGTGAGGCTTTCAAACCTGAGAACACTGTACCAGCTGTCAAGCATGGTGGTGGTAGAATCGGAGGCCGTTTTGCTGCCAGTGGTAATGATACATTATACAAAATGGTTGGAATAATGAAGGGGGAGGACTCCAAATTCTTCACTTCAAATTAGCAGCTAGATGGTTGAAACTTGGACACAGTTGGGTGTTCCAACATGACAATGATCCCAAAAACATAAAAACTGGTTACAGAACAGATAAAGCAGGCTAACACTGAGCTTCTAGAATGGCCTTCCCAAAGCTCCGACCTCAACCCTGTTGAAAATGTTTGAACTGAGCTTAAAAGCCTAGATTGTGCCAAGAAACCACCCAATTTAAATGAATTCTTCCTATTCTGCCAAGAAGAGCTGTTAGATCTGAGCCAGGATTATTCCAGAAGCTTGTTGGT